CCCCAAAACCCCAAAACCCCAAAACCCCAAAACCCCATAATAATTATACTAAAATGAGACATGAGAATGTTTAAATTCATAATTTTTAGAAAATGTTACAGCATCATCATCCATTTCCTCCTTTTCCCATCTGGATGTCAACCTATGAGAAGAGTTATAATTGGAATGCATAAGAGACCTTACCTTCTTTTTCTCAAGTTTATTTTGCTCTTTTTTGTAATCCTCAAGCCTCTTCTTCATTTCTTTGATCTCTTTAGACTCACTCACCATTTTCTTTGAGAGAGAAAGGTTAGGATCGGAGGTATCTATCTTCTCTTCTTCATCTGAATCGTCCATTTTGTTCGCTAAAAGAGCATTCTTGGCTGGATCTTGAGCAAATTCTTCGTATAAGTTCTCAATATCTTCTGGTGAGAGCTTTCCGTAAACTCTCATCAATAGTGGAGACTCCTTGATATGATCAATAAACTCCTGACTCACATAAATATTGTGCAAATGACGGTATTCCCATTTAGGATTTTTGTTTTTGGTATCTTCAGAGTACTTGGTCTTAAACAATTTTCCTTTCTCGTCAATCCATTTGTACTCTGTGAAAACATTACTTGACCATTTTTCTGGAATTCCTTTTGCGTAATGAATAATGACTTCGATGGTTATAAGCCTTCCAAGCATTTCTTCAATGTTATTGATCATTCCTACCTTCTCTCCATTTTCATCAAAGACCATGGGCTCTATGGAGTAGCACAAATTTCCTTTCTCTTCTCCCTTGGTGTCTCTAATGGGGATAAGATCTTTTCTAATTTCAAGCATCATTGCTAATCCGTATAGGAAGATATATCAGTTACCTATCAAATGCCATTCATCTTTAATGACCATCCCAAAGACAAATCCTTCATCTTCTCCAATCTCTAGCTCTGGAGAGAAATTATCTTCATTATAGACAGAGGACATATATTGATCGTATTTCTCATTCATTAAATCTAGTTTATCCTGAAATTCTCCGAATTCTAAAGTCAAATGGAAATCCTTTTTCCTATCTGGGTACGCTTTACAGACAACCTTTGGAACTTTGGTCCCATCAGGAAGTATATCAATCTCTGTTGCTGCTTGATAGAAGTACTGATATCTTCCAAGCGCTCTACAGTACTCATTTGCATCATTACACATCTGTATCATTGAAGTCAGTTGAGCTTCTAGCCTTGCTCGAAGATTGATATCTATTTCTTGCTGCATCCTTTGTTTCTGAGCTTCTTCAAATGCTCTCATTGCTCTCTGCTTTTCCTCTTCAAGCAATTTTTCTTTTCCTTCTTGCTCTTTTCTAAGTCTCTCAGCATCTTCCTTTTCTTTCTTCAGTCTTTCGTTAAGATCTTTAAGTTTACGCTCATCTTCTCCTGCTTCCTTCATTTTGTTCTTAAGCTCTTCATCTCGTCGCTTGAGGTCATCTTCAAGTTTCTTCCTTGCGTCTTCCATTTCTTTTTGTTTACGTTTGAGGTCTTTCTCAGTTTCCTTCTTTTTCTCATCAAGGTTTTCCTTCATCTTGTTAAGTTTGTCTTTCATTTCTTTTTCGTGATCATTATCACGAAGGTCCTCCATTTGTTTCTTAAGAATCTTGTTCATGACTGCTTCATAATCGAACATTTGTGGCTCTGTGGGCTCTCCAGGGAAAAGGACCACGTATAAGGTGTTATTTCCAAAGACTATCTGATCTCCATGTCTTAAAGGAGTATCTTCTGTCAGTAATTCTCCATTCAAGTAGGTCTTGTTCTTCTTGTAACTCTCAGCATTCGGGTGAATTATAAGTTCTTTCGAATGTTCATTGAAAGAAGTCTTATTGTGTTCGTTCACCATTCCTAATCCGTTGATGACAATATCTGGCTTTTTGCCCTTTTTAGCTTTTCCGATGGTGTTAACACCATCTTTAAAAGCATGGTGGATCTGCCCAGTTAGCATAGGATCATCACTGACGTTCATGATTCTAATTTTACTCATGACTTCTTCATTCTCTTTACTCTCTTGCTTTACCTCTTTTCTCATCGCTTTCTTTTTGTCCATCATCAGTTTAAGTTTTTCATTTTCTTCTTTAAGTTCTCTGATAAGCTTATCCTGAGCAGATTCATTCTTTTTAGCCTGATTCTTGATTGACTTTACTTGATTAGCATAGATTAAGGTTGAGAGAGACTCTTCATAGTTATCATCTGCAGGAGAGATGGCAGCAATCATTGCAGTTTTGGAGTTACCTCCCAAAGCATTCTTAAGAATCATTGTCAGTTTCGATTCTCTGTAAGGTACTACAGCATTCTTAGCAGATTTCTTTCCAGCTGCCTTATCGGCAAGGATACTGATAACCTTACCAAGGAAACTTAGAGATTTGTTAATGTTTGAACCTTCTTTTAATCTTGCTGCTTCTGCATGAGTGTCTTTTTGCCTCTCACTTCCTGCTAAATCAACAAGATTAATGTTTGAAGAAGTCTTATTTGTTGGCTTTCCTCCCTCGAAGAACGTCTGTTGAAAGGTAATAGTTGTAACAGTATGAGCTCTTGATGATGTGGAGTTCATATCTGTATGTGCAATGGTTCTATTGGTTGTACCAAACTTAATTTGTTCATCAATATCAAAGTATGAAACGACAGGAATCTTGGTGAGATCCTGAACATACATTCCATCCTTTTTCGTTTCACGAATTTTCAATCCTCCTTTTGGTCTTTTCTTTGGCTTCACAAAGAGATCTTGTACACATTCGTTATAAATTTCAAGCATTGAAACTGTCACTGTATACTGAATTGCGTCTGGATCTTCAGCCTGAGAGATTTCCATTCTCTTGAATATTTCAGCACAAGCGAGAGGAATGATTCCAATATTTTTCTCATATCCGAATATAGAGTAACTCTTTCCACTCCCGGTCTGTCCATAAGCAAACAAACATGTATGATAACCCTCGAATGCATTATCCAACACCTCTTTACCAAGGTCATCAAATACCATGCTCTGCGAAGCATAATTACTTCCTGGGGAGTCCTTTTCGAACATTCCAGTTGAAGGATCGATCATGAATGCATCATGGGACCAATAAGAGTAATCAAAGAAGAAGTCTTTTCTCTGGCCTGTCTGAGGATTATATATAGAAGTCTTCTTTCCTGACATCTCTACACAACACTTGCAGCCAAGATCTACTTCCCTTTTGTTAAAGGGCCTCACTCTGACAGCTACTTTAACGCTAGACATCTTGCACAAATAAATAAAATTATATTAGAAATATTCGAATTAACTTTTAAGAAGATTAAGGGGTTTTGGGGTTTTGGGGTTTTGGGGTTTTGGGG